CAATAAATCAACTCCCCAGGGAAATGGCCACACCGCAGTCCCTTCTCCATTCTCTTCTCGGGAGTTCGGGCACACTTACATGCTCAGTGTGAGTTTTAAGCCACTGAATCCAGGACTCAACCACAGTTGGCTATGTGGGAGTCCAGCAATGCAACCATTATGCCATCCCCTGGTCCCTCCCTGCTCATTTTTAGCCTGTTTCTGAGCTGTCAATAGCGTGTAGATTCTATGGTAAAAGAACTAACTTGCCGTTAGAAGCAGAGAACCCTGTCTGCTCAGCAGCTCCCCAGGAGAAGTGGCTGTTGTTTGTTTTGTTTTGTTTTGTTTTAAATAGGGCGTGTGCGCTCATCAGAGAGAGACAAAGCACACATACTAGAGAGGAAAAGTGAGAAATCACTGACGGGGGCGGGGGCGGCGTTGACCACGTGGCAGTCCCTTCTTCATCCTCTTGAGATTTGGGGTACACAGGCACATGTGCCTATTGTGTATTCCAAGCCACCAGGTTCGGGACTTGGACCATGGAGTCAGTCATGTGGGATCTAGCACCTTAGTTAGCCACTATGCCTCCTGATTATCCCCACCTTTTTTTGAAGACTTTTTAGAAAATGTTTTTTTCTAATGTTTGGTATTTTATCTTTTTTCTTTTTTGTATGAAGGTGCTTGTGCTTACCAGAGAGGAGAACGGAACGTGCCTGAATGGGACATAGTCATGCTGCAGTTCATTCTCCTCCATTTTAACCCCCATCAGGATTTTGGATGTATTTTTAAGCCGCCAGGGCCAGGATTCAAACCCCGTTTGGCCATGTGGGTTCTGGCTTCCTGTGCACAGTGCTGAAAGGCCGGCCCAGCTGTTATATTCTTATTCCAAATTTTGAACCCCTCGCAGGTTTCATTTCTGTCTGTTCATTAGTTGGAGTTGGAATTGATGCTGTGGAGTGCTGCCCCAGGCATGATCTCCTTCGAAGGCCTCTGTAGCCCTCATTTCGGAGCAGCAGGAGACCAGTTTCAAAGCTGATGAGTTTCTTTGATTATGGAAAGCAATTTCTGCTTTGTCCAATCAGTAACAGAGTGCCTTCCCAGTAGGAGGGTGCTCAGATGTTTATAGGGCCAGCGTGCTGCTTTAGCACTTGTTAGTCCATTTTATGGCATTCTAGCGGAATACCACAGACTGGGTAATTTATAACTAACTGAAATGTATTGGCTTCCAGTTTGGGAAGCCGGCAAGTTCAATGTTAAGGTAGTGGCATCTGGCAAGGGCCTTCTTACATCATACCATGGCAAAAGAGCAGAAGGGCAAAGAGAGCGGCAGGGACAACAAGAAGGGGTCAGACTGATTGTTTTGTCAGGAACCTGCTCCTGCTTCAACAAACCCACCCCCACAATACCAACATTATTCTAGTCATGAGGCAGATTCCTCATAGCCTGATCCCTCAGTAAAGATCCCACCTCTGGATCCTGTTACAATGGCAATTAAGTTTCCAATGCATTCTTTTTGGAGAACACATTGAAACTGTAGCAGCTCTGGGTGTTCTCCAGAAAGCATCTTGCATTATCTGACAGAGAACTGGTTGAATAAAACAGAGGTCTAAGGTTGGGCAAGTGCACTAGCGATATGCTGTGTTGTTGTTGTCACCTCAGCACTCTTGTCATTTATATCTGCATATCCTCTATAATTTGCAACTTACTGTTTTTGATCCCTCATAATTCTCTCACCTTGTGAGGACTGATCATGTCTAGAGAATGTTACTTGTATGTATTGCTTGTTTGTTTGTTTTCTTTTCTTTTTGCTTTCATGAGCAAACAGGAGAGTGAGAATGACAGGAGAACAACAGAGAGAGACAGGCACCCTCAGTAGGGTCTCACCCTGTGATCCTACTCCTAGCCCTACCAGTTGGCCTGGATCATGCACATGTGTGCACCTGTGTGCATGTGCCCAGTGTGTACTGGTTGGCCCAGGAACCGAACTCTTGGTTTTTACATGGATCCAGATAATGGAGTAGTGTACCATTTCTGTGCCATGGTGGCTATCCATTGAACCTATTGTTAGATGACTCTAGTTGTAGGAGTATTTTCCCTTATGTTGAGTTGAAATGTATATGCCTCCTTTAGCTTTTTTTTCTTCCATGAGAGAGACAGACAGACACACACTACCAACAGGATGTCATCATGCTACAGCCCCCCAGCCTTCCAGTCAGCCAGGGTCGTGGGCACGTACCCAGCATGCTCAGGTCGGGCCTCCGGCATCGTAGAGTGGTGCCTTACTGTCTGTGTCATTGCAGCTGGGCCCTCCTTTAACCTTCGTCCTCCTGTCATTCTCGTTTCAGTCTGTCTACTGGTGGTAATTTCGTCTGGCTTTTGCCATGGCTGGTGTGCCAGGGCTGCACATGGGCTATATTTCAGGACGTTTTGTCCTCTGGAGTTGACCTGTGGCATTTTCCATTTTGCCTGTCTGACAACTCCAGCTTCTTCTCCTTGGGAATCCATTTTTTTCTCTACCTTCCATTCCAGAATCCCGGACAGGCTAATTAACCGGAGAGTGTTGTCATCAAGCCAGCTGTTCACTCTGCTTTCCACATCTGACTCGTTTCCTGTCCTGAGGTGCTATAGGAGAAGTTAATGACCTAAAAAATTGCCCATCTATCATGCAAACATAGTTAGGAGGGAATTGTTTGATTTTTATGAAGTGTAAATAATACATTTAGAGACACGTTTTCGAACACGTGTCAGCCTATGTGTAAGAAACGGCTCCCTAAACAAGGTGGGACAAATTGGCGGGCTAATAGAGCTTAATGACAGATTTTCCATTAATCAGATTGGAGAATGTGCTTCATTAAGGTAATTAACAGAGCACTTGTGCAGGTGATACTTACTGCACACAAATTTCCAAGTTCTTTCCCTTGAATAAATTTGGAAGGGAATCCTGGCTATGTTTCCTTGTTTGTATTAAAATGATCAGTGGCAGTAAATTCTCATTTTTAAAAAATTAAGAATTATTTTATTTTATTGGAGAGGTTTTTTTGTTTTGTTTTGTTTTTGTTCGCTTGTTTTTACTGTAGGACATGTGCACTCACTAGAAAGACAAAGAGACAGAGAGACAGAAAACAAGACATCACCCCCTAGGGGGATGGCCACGCCACACCCCTTCTCCTCCATTCTCCTCTAGGGTTTTTTGGAGAGATTTTCACTGAAGGGCGCGTGCGCTCGCCAGACAGACAGAGAGAGACATAGAGACAGAAAGCGAGAAATCACCCCGCAGGGGGGATGGTCACGCCGCAATCCCTTCTCCTCCACTCTACTCTCGGGATCTTGGGCACGCACGCACACGCGCCCTGCGTGAGTTTCAAGCCACCGGGTCCGGGACACAAACCGTGGTCGACTACGTGGGAATCCAGCGACATAGCCATTACGCTAACTGCTGGTTCCCTCCTCTAGGGATCTTGGGCACACGTGCACATGCGCCCAGTGTGAGTTTAAGCTACCGGGTCCAGGACTCAAACTGCGGTCAACTATATGGGAGTCCAATGACATAGCCATTACGCCAACTGCTGGTCCCAAGATTTCTTTTATTTACTTTATTTATTTATTTATTATTTTAATTTGACCAGAGAAGGACAGAAAGAGAAGGAGAGAAAGCAAGCTGCCAGGTCCAGGACTCAAACCGCCATCAGCCATGTAGGAGTCCAGGGCCCATATCCACCATGCCACCTACTGATCCTGTAAACTCTCGCCTTTTTTAAGAATCGTTTTATTTTATTCAACATTATTATTTTTAATTAAAAAAATTTTTTTGGAACAGTTTTTGCTATAGGGCGTGTGTGCTTGCCAGAAAGACACAGAGACAGAGAGATAGAAACGAGAAATCACTCCCCCACAGGGGGGATGGCCACGCCACAATCCCTTCTCCTCTGTTCTCCTTTCGGGATCTTGGGCACACATGCACATGCGCCTGGCGTGAGTTTAAGCCACCAGGTCCAGGACTCAAACCGTGGTCAGCTACATGGGAGTTCAGCAACATAGCCATTACGCTAACTGCTGGTCCCTATTATTTTTAATTTGACCAGAGAGCGTCAGATAGAAAGCCAAAAACCAGGTCTGGGACTCAAACTATGGTCATGGCCATGTGGAAATACAGTGCCCCAACTGCCATACCACCTACTGGTCCCAAATTCTAATTGTTTTTCTTTTTCTGTTTCTTTTTTTTTTTTTCTAAGAGAGATTTTTTTTGCTATAGAGCATATGCACTCACTAGAGAGACAGAGAGGCAGAAGGTGAGAAATCACCCTTCCAGGAGGAATGGCCATGCAGCAATCCCTTCTCCTCCATTCTCCTCTCAGGATCTTAGGCATATGTGCCCCTTGTGAGTTTTAAGCTGCCGGGTCTGGGATTCAAACTGCAGTCTACTACATGGGAGTCTAACAACTCCCATTATGCCATCTGCTCGTCCCATATTCTCACTTGTTAAAAAGCTGCTAGTAACTGGTATTTTGTCCTCTGTAGGTACAAAAGCCAGGGACATAGGACACGTGCTGTTCTTCCCAATAGTATTCTGTGAACTCAACACCAGGGACCTGGGCACCCATAATGAACTATAGAAGTACACCCTCCCCAGCTTGAGACTAGCATTTGTTACAATTAGAAAGGACCTCATAGATCCTAAATTAGTTCATTTTCCATCAGGCCATTGAAGTCCAGAGAGAGAAAGTGACGTGGCCAATGCCATGCAGTACGCTAGTGGCAGAGCTGTAATGGGTTAGTGAGACCAACACTGAAGGTCGGAATGCCTAGGTTGGCATTAGGCAAGTTACGTCACTTCTCTGTTCTCAGTCTCTGTAAAATGAGAAGGGCCAAGGGCAGACACATGTGCTTTCTGTTTAGTCTTCTTTCTACTGTATACCCTGATGCATCCCTTTGAGCATAAACTAAAGATTCTAGAGGAGAAGCTAATGTCGGGGAGAACGAACAGGCAATAATCAATGCTCTTTCCTTGTTTTCCCCTCTAGGATCCTCATTCTTCCACAATGAACCCTGTTTACAGCCCCGTGCAGCCTGGGGCTCCTTATGGCAACCCTAAGAACATGGCCTACACGGGTGAGTAGTATGAAAATGGTTCTTATTTTGAGAAATGATGGCTAGAAAAATTAGATATTTGAACCCAGGTGTGATGATTCTGAAGGCTTTTTCCTGAAATACATACCAAGCTGTTTTCTACTTTTTTTGCCTTTGTGCCTTCTGTCTGGAATGCCATTGTTCCTGACAACTTTTCCTTCTCTAAGAACTCAAGTCTGAACTCAGTGCTCTTCCAAGAAGCATCTCTCCCTAACTTTACTGTAGGCAAGTCTATGTTCTCATGTACAAAAGGCGGGCCCTATCTCATAGGACTGCTCTAAGAATCACATAAACTGGCATAAGGCACTTGGCATATAATGGCTGGCACAAAGTACTTAATAGTGGTCATTATTACATATAAGTGAATACAGATAGAGGAATTCTGGACCATACAGGGTACAGTCAGTACTTGAGCTTAGATGGAGTAAAGTAAGAGAAGTGGGAGAAGGGAAAAGGAGGATCAAAAAGTAGATTAAGATGTTGGTGATAGGATCAAGGGAGGGGAGATGGGAAAGACTTTTTTTTAAGAATCATTTTATTTAACTTTATTTATTGATCTATTTTTAATTTGACGAGTGAGAGAAAGAAAGCGCACGCGCACACAATAAAGCAAGCCGACAGGTCCAGGATTTAAACCTTGGTCAACCATGTGGGAGTCCAGTGCCCTCAACCACCACACCACCTGCTGGCCCAAGGTGGGAAAGTTTTGTCCCAAAAGAGAGTCCTTGGAGTTAGGGGAAGCCATGGAATGCCCCAGTCCCTCTTTATAACTCCTCATGCACTTTACTATGTATCTGTAGATCGCCTCAGACTGAGTAGAGCGATCTCTGAGAACCCCACCTCCTGCCTGGTTGTTTCCAAACTTCGTAATCTAACAATGACATGAAGAGAGTGTTTCAGAAAGTCCTCAAATATTCGACTTGATGTTTTAAAAATATTGAGAACTACTTTTGTAATGCACTCATACATGTAAGATAATTAATATGTTGACTTAAGTGTCTAAAAATGCATGTTAATTAAAACTGCTGCCATTTGCAGCTGCTTATGTTGCTCGGTCAGGACTTTCTCAATGCGGTGCAACCAAAATAACATTCAGAAACATATTGGGGCTCGAACCTGGTACGTCTATAGCTGTTATCCCTAACTTTCAACTTCACATGTTTGTGTTTATCACACCAGCTTCATTGTCCTTATCCTTTTTTTAAAAAGAATTATGCATTTAATTTTATTATTATCCTTATTATTTTAATTTGATCAGAGAGAGAGAGGGAAAGTGAGAAAGCAAGCCATCACATCCACGACTCAAACTGCAGGTGGCCATGTGGGAGTCCAGTGGCTTAACCACCATGCCACTTGCTGGCTCCCATTGTCCTTATCATTTCACCTTTAAAGTAAATAAATATTTTGTTTGAACTTCTGTTGTATAAGTATTTTAATAAAATGAATTCCAGTAAGCAGGACTCGTGGGGGAATACTCCCACACCCCACTAGCTCAGGGAGCTCGTGCCTTTCCACTTCCCAGTTCAGGCTGTTCCAGCAACTCCAGTGCCTTTGGCAGAGGGGACTGAGCTACTTCGGCACACAGAGCCCAGGGGAGTCTAGGGGGCTTTGGTTTCCTATTTGTTGTAATCCTGACTGCCATCATTCTTACTGAGTTGCTAAACTTGAGAAGGAAGAAAACAGTTACACTTCATCTGTCGATTTACCCAAAGAAGATAAGGCAGTGTGATATCTTAGAAAGATAACAGACCTGTTTCTGCTTGGCATGTAGTAGAATTTGTTAATATATTTCTTCCCAAATTGTATTTATTTAAAGAATTTATTTTATTTAATGCTATTTATTTATTTATTTATTTTTAAATTTGATCGGAGAGGAACAGAGCAAGAGCAAGAGAAAGGGAAAATGAGAAAGCAAGCTGCCATGTCTGGGACTCAAACCTCAGTTGGCCATGTGGGAGTCCAGCACCCTTAACCACCATGCCATCTGCCAGCTCCATATTTATTTATTTATTTATTTATTTATTTTAGATTTTTTGCTATAGGGCACATGTGCTCATCAGAGACAGAAAGAGAGAAAGTGAGAAATTGTCCTCCAGGGAGGATGGCCATTTTGCAGCCCCTTCTTCACCATTCTACTCTCTGGATTTTGGGCATGCACACACATGCGTGCAGCTTGAGTTTCAAGCCCCCAGGTCCAGCACTTGAACTGCAATCAGCCATGTGGGCGTCCAGCACCTTAACCATTCTGCCACCTGCTGGCCCCAAATTATATTTATTTTTTTCATGATCAAGAGCATATATGCACACACAAGAGAAAGAGAGAAAAACACTCTAGACAGGTCTGTTCGCACTGTGACTTCCTTTCATTGGCCCTCCAACTCAGCAGAATCTTGGGTTCAAGCACGCACACACATGCCTAATGTGTATTCAGGTGGACCAGGAATTGAACCTGTGGTCCACCGTGTGGGTTCAGTTTGCTGCTAACCGTATTACCAGGCTGGCACAGTCATTTGTTTTGATTAAATGAACACCAGTTTAAATCCCAGCTATGTCAGGTAGTAGCTGGTGACTTCGAACAAGTTGCTTAGTCTCCCTAAACTTGATTTCTTTTATAAACAGGGGTATTTTCTATATCTTAGGACATTTGTAAGAATTAAATGAGATACTTTGTACTCCTCTAAAGGGAAGAAGAGTTGTTTGTGTTTTTTTAAATTTTATTTTATTTTTAATTTTTTTTTTTGAGACGTTTTCGCTATAGGGTGCGTGCGCTCGCCAGACAGACAGAGAGAGACATAGAGACAGAAAGCGAGAAATCACCCCCCAGGGGGGATGGTCACGCCGCAATCCCTTCTCCTCTATTCTCCTCTCAGGATCTTGGGCACGCACGCACACAAACCTGGCGTGATTTTTAAGCCACCGGGTCCAGGACACGAACTGCGGTCGACTACATGGGAGTCCAGTGACATAACCATTATGCTAACTGCTGGTTCCCTGTTTTTTTTGTTGTTGGTTTTTTTTTTTTTTTATTTCTACTAGTCACCAAGGAATATTATCAGTTTGTTCCTATATTTTGAGTTAATACCTCTACTGGAGGTTCTAGGACCACACAGACATCGTAAACTCTATACAGGTATAAATTCAGACTTTACACAGGCTCAAATTTCAAATTTGTAGGGAGTCTTTTTTTTTTTTTTTTTTTTGAGAGGTTTTTACTATAGGGTACATGCACTCGCCAGACAGAGAGACAGAAAGCGAGAAATCACCCCCCAGGGGGGATGGCCATGCTGCAGTCCCTTCTCCTCCATTCTCCTCTTGGGATCTTAGGCACGCACACACACACGCCCGGCATGAGTTTTAAGCCACCGGGTCCAGGATTTGAACCGCAGTCGACTACATGGGAGTCCAGCGACATAGCCATCACGCTGACTGCTGGTCCCAGGTGACTTCCTTTATTAACCTGAACTTTCCCATTGTATCTCTGTACTTTCGGTTTGGATTTTTTGTTGTCTGGTCTCTGTTTTTAACTGACAATCTGACTCCTCTAAGGTCTCAGCAGCATGCAGGGATTTGTGTTCCCAGTCCTCGGCCTCCCCAGGGCCTGAAGCCTTATTCCTACCCCAGGTGGCTGTACAAGGAAAGCCTTTTGATGGACCACATGGCAATTCAGAGCAGCCCAACATCAGCTTGGTACCCTAGACTTCTGGGTTTGGGCTTCTGCTTAGTTTTTTGATCACCAGGGAATTACTTTTTTTCCCTTTAAAATCTCAGCACTGCCTAAGAATAAAATGTTTGTCACACTTTATTCAGCTCTTCTAGCTGTGTGCAGTAGGCATAGTTTCAGTTTATCTTACCTCCTATATTGCTGGAAATGGAAGATCAAGTGTGTAGATTAATAAACACATGCCAATTATAGTCCATTAGAGAAAAGATTTGTTATTGATAGTAACAGTGATAGTTATGTTAAAAAGTACTAATTATCACTTGGCAAGCACATACTAGGTATTATATATGTTAATCATAATTTTAAAAATATATTTGTTAGCAGACTCATGTGTTCGCCACAGAAAGATAGTGAGAACATTTCCTAATGTAGCGTGGTCATGTCATAGTCCTTTCTCTATTTCTCTACCCTATGGGGATTTGGGGCATGCATACATACACACCTGGTGTGTTTTGCAAGCCTCCAGGGCTGGGATTTGAACTATGTGTTTAGCCATGTGGGAGCCAGCTCCTTTAGCCACCAGGCCACAGGGCCAATTCTAATTATAATCTTATTAATCATAAACTGCATAATACTTTTCTTTTACAGATAAAGAAACTTATCATAGAACTGTAAAAGAAGAGTACTGTGTGTCTCGCTAGTATATATAGCTTCTAAGGGATGAGGAGAGATTTGAATTTAAATCTTTATGTTTTCCAAATGTGTATACTTCCTTTATAGCAAGCTGATCTGTCCTAAAATGTGTTCTCCTTTCATTGCTCCCAAAGATAAGCTATGGGAGAAGAATATCTTTTCAGTTTCTAGGACTAGGGGACCCTCCCTTAAAGAGTGTACACCTGTCATCTCAGTGACTCAGGAGGCTGAGGCGGGAGGATCATGAGCTTGAAGCTGGCCTGGACAGCATGAGACCTTGTCTGAGAGCTAAGATGTAGTGGCACTTGCCTGTGGGCCCAGCAACTTGGAAAACTGAAACAGAAAGATCCTGACATAGCAAAACTCTGTCTTTGTGTATTTAATTGCTTAGTTATTATTTTCTAGAGAGCATGTGTGCTCACTGGAGAAAGAGAGACAGAGAGGGAAAGGGAGAAAACACTCCCGGATGGGGCCTGGTTTTGCTGCAATCCCTTCTCTTCCATTTCTTTATCCTTTTGAGATTTGGGGCATGCATGTACATACTCCTGACATGTTTTTTTGAGCATGTGGGGCAGGGACTTGAATCACACAGTTGGCCATGTGGGATCTAGCACCTTTTTTTCCCCCC